GAACACCAAAGGAGAGCAACGAGAGAATAACAAGAGCAACGAGAGCAACGAGAGCAACGAATAAATACGAGATAAGTAAAAACGTTCAGTGTCGTGGCACGAAGCGACACCCTGACGTGCGTTCACTCTTGAGGATAAAGGAATAAAGGACCTTTTATGTTAGCCAAAAGGAAAAAAAGAAGAAGAAGAAAGAGAGAGAAAGAGAGAGAGAGAGAGAGGGAGAAAAAGATTTCACGTACTGAACATTTTCATATAGTCATTTGCAAAACAATAACTTAGATATTCTTTTTACTAGGTAAGAAAAAAAAAAGATCTAAATTGTGAAAACGGATGATAATCCTTTCTTCGATTTAACATTTTTCTCTCGTATGATAAAAGTGTTTCTCCTTCTCTCTATCTATTTATCTATCTATCTATCTATCTCTATCTCTCTTCATGTATATCTATCTGTTATTATAATTAACTGCTTGAAAATTCATTACGGTTGCCTTCATATAAATACCTATATTTATATGCATATACATACCTATGTATATATATATATATGTGTGTGTGTATGTGTGTGTCTATGTATGTATGTATATAATGTAATTAGGTGATTGAAAGGCAACCACTGTTTAATGCATCCCACTATTTAATCTTGTCTCATTCAAAGCAACGTGATACCTACTTAATTAGTAACATTAATTATCACGAGTCGAATATATTTATTAATAACGCGAGGGGAGAAAACGAAAAACGAAAAATGAGGAAAAAGAAAAAAAGGGAAAAGAAAAAGAAAGAAAGAAAGAACGGAAAAGAAAAGAAAAAGAAAAAGGAAGGAGAAAAAATAGAAAAAAAAAATAGAGATTACAATCACATGAAATAATATAAAGAAACGATAATTCATACGTTAGAAATTATTATTATTTGTCCGTACATAAGAATTGAATGTAAGAAGATGTTCTTTAATTTCATCCTTTAAAATATTAAAAAGTCCATCAAGGAAAATGAAAAAAATATTACAATTGATGAAGAAATACGAAAGTCCAATAAAATATTTATTAATAATATTATATTATTGTCAATGAAGCTCTCGTTTCTTTTAGTTTCTATCTTTTGGTTTCTTCTTTATCTATTTACCTAGGTAATATTTCCATTTCATTTTCTCTTTTCTCTTCAATTACCGCTACCGATGGGGAATGAATTTTCTCCGCATCGATGCTACCAAGTATAGCTTGCTAATTTTCAGAGAACAATGTAAATTTACATTTCCGTCCGTACGGAAATAAACGCGAACGCGTTATAAACGTATTCTCGATTAGTAAGGGCAGAGAAATGCTTCGTTAACAGCTTGCAAAAGGCATTACAATATTTCATAGAACGAGCATTCGTAGCACTTTGTGTATCGGAGTTGAGAAAGGAGAGGATAAAGAGAAAGAGAGAGCGAGAAAGAGGGAGAGCGAGAGAGAGAGAGAGAGAGAGAGAGAGTGAGAGAGAGAGAGAAAGAAAGAGATAAGAAGAATTCGTCTTAGAGATCAACAAGTGGAAGGTTTGACGGTAACAATGGCACCTAATTTATCTACTATTTTTAACATCCTGACCCCTGGCTCCTTCCAATCGTCAAAACGACCTTTGACGTCAGCAACATAGCGTTCGTAGGAAGAAGAAGAAGAAGAAGAAAATACATATCTCCGGGTTATGTACGTCGAATAGCTAAAATCGACTCACGGCCTTTCGATTCTACTACGTGTTGTCGTTCTTTTAAATCGAAACTTTTGCGATCCCGTTTTTGTGTTATATCTTTTATTTTCTTTCTCATTTTCTTCTTCTTCTTCTCCTTCTTCTTCTTCTCTTTCTTCTGGTTTTTTTTTTTTACCTTGTTTTTGTTCTTTTTTCTTTTTTTTTGTTTTTTTTCCTTTATTTCATTCTTTCTTTGGTTTCTTTCTTTCTTCCTTTCTTTCTTTCAAAGAACACGTTTCCATTCGTCCAATTTTTTACGCGAGCTCACTGCTAACTAAAAGATTCGATCCATTTTTTTTTCTTTTTTCTTTCTTTTTATTTTTTTTCTTTTTTTTTTTTTTGTTTTCTTTTGTAAAAAGAATCTTCGATGCAATCAGCAATTCTCAAACGTTATTACGATTACTACGATTCGTATTTGCGATTAAAAACGTTAAAAGGAAATGATAATCGTTCGTAAATTTCAAAATAATATTTTTGCTGGCTCGTAGAAAATCGCAATCGCTCACTTCTTTTTTCTTTTCTTTTTTTTTCTTTTTGTTCTCAAACGTTTAACGCGGTCTTTGTTAAACGAGTCTCGTAGAAGACTATTAATAAATGTCCGTTCGGTCGTTGCAAGAAAGATAACTGATGGATCAGCGACAAATGTTCCAGTAGATGCCAAGAAGGTTTTGCGCAAATCCGCGCTCTCGCAATTTCTATAAAATAGAAATATTATTGTCTCGAAAACAATAGATGGTATTCGAATGGATGGATGGATGGATGGATGGATGGATGGATGGATGAATTCGAATGGAAATTAAGAAATTCGGATAAACATTGGAAATATTGAAAACTTTGCGATCGACAAAGAATTGATGAAATGAAAGAAAAGAAAGAGAAAAAAAGAAAAAACAAAATTATTTCCCTTTTCTTTCTTTTTCTACTTTTATTTGTCTCTCTTTTTTTCTTTTTCTTTTTCTTTTTCTTTTTCTTTTTTTTTTGCTTTTTTTTTCTTTGTACTCGCGCTTACAAAAGGCATTTAGGGTTTTTAACACGCGCCAATGATTTCCGACGAACCGGAAAGGTTAAATTCGTATAGACGAAACTCGTGACGAAAGAAGAAACGTTTGCGTCGGCGTCGGCGTCGGCGTCGCCGTTGTCGTCGTCGTCGTCGTCGTCGGGACGACAAATAGCCGGATGCTTTGCGAGGCCGAACCTGAAATAAGTCCGAGACTCGTGCAATCAGAAAAGATCGAATCTGATTGGAAACTTCCTATACGAAAAGTCGGACAATTTATGTTACGAACGTGTCTTCCTGTTGTTTCACTCAAACTATTATCGGTAGGAAACATCAAAATTTCTTACCGATGACAATCTACGTGATAATACTTTTTAAAAATATAACTTCACTCGAGAACTTAGAAACGATTCAATTGCATGCTATGAAAATTTTTATTCGAAGACGAATTAACTTGACGAATTTTAAAACTGTTATCTTTCGTGGGAAACGAATATAATACATTTTTTTTTTTTAATTTTTAATTGTTATTAACGGCCAAATACATTTGTTAAAATTATCATCTCAAATCGTATGTATATATATATATATATACTCATTTGTTTTGAAAATTATGCATCTTATATGCACATCTTATTTTCTAAATCTCTCACTTTTTCTCTCTCTCTCTCTCTCTCTCTCTCTCTCTCTCTTTCTGTCTCTTTCTCTCTCTGTATTTACATATTTACAGATATTTTATTTACTTTCTCATATCTATAATACATATATCCATGAAGGAGAAGCTCCAATCGCTAAACATAATGTAAATCGTTGTCGAAGAGCTCCGGAAGCTGATCTTTCGGTGGTGAATATCGGATGGTGCACACTTTGATGTCGAGACCGAAGACAAACTTCTTAGCCCAACGTACTCTAATTGTTCAACGAATGTTCTACGGAGTCTAATTTGCAATTCAAGAACTTCGGAAGTACGCCCTTCGAGTTCTCAAGCACGTTGAGAGAGACAGCCAGCCAGACAGACAGACAGACAGACAGAGAGAGAGAGAGAGAGAGAGAGAGAGAGAGAGAGAGAGAGAGAGAGAGAGAGAGAGAAAGAGAGAGAAAAGGAGAGAGAGAGAGAGAGAGAAAGCTCTAAACTACTAACTTTACTCCGCTGATGCATCGTACCTGAAAATAGAAGTGCAACGACATCGCGGATGAAGAAGAAGATCTTGACATTGTCTTGGTGTCTTTCATTCGGCTTACGTTTAAAGTAGGAAGAAGACAAGCAGAACATTTAAAAGTGACACAAAAGTTACAAACATCAACGTGATCTCTCTTAAAATAATTAATCCTCTATTCAAGGATTAGATTCGACTTTCCTTCGTTTAGACTAAAACACGTTTCTCTATATACTATATATCTCCGTCATAAGATTTACTTTGGCACGATATGAGAACAAGTAATTCGTCTTACATCTACGTATACGTATATAATCTATGCATATATATATATATATATATATATATATATAAGTATATATAAGATTGCATTAGCGGCGACTTCACCTAAACTATTTATTAACGATGACAAACTATCCTTTCCGTCATATGCCACGTCTCTTATTCACGTCGTTAAATATGATGAAATTATTATATCGAAAATATGTGTCAGAATATATAAATATTATTTATATCTAATAATTGAATTTACGGGATTATAGGGATAAATAGAATAATTATTTGCAATTTTGAATAATAATGATCGAAAAGGAAGAGAGCAACGATCTCATCTTCTTCTATTTTCTATCATTCTTAATATTTAATTGATTTATTTAAAGATAATTAAAAAAGAAAAAAAAAGAAAACAAAAAAGAAAAGATTACAACGAATAATAGAACAATTAATAATTAATAAAAATAGCTTAAAATGTCGATTTTGGATTTTACGAATCTTCTTGTTCTTTTGTTTTTTTCTTTTTTTTCTTATTTCCTTTAACGAGGAAAAAAGAATGAAAGAAAGAAAGAAAGAAAGAAAGAAAGAAGGAAAAAGGAAAGAACAAAGAAGAGGAATAAGAAGAAGAAAGAAACAAACAAACAAATGAAAAAAGAAAAATAGAACTGTCGCGAGTGAGAACAGAGTATTATATTTGTTAAACTGCATGACACTGCATTCTGAGTTAGTATTAATAGTATCCGATGCGCGCCGATGAGGTTCCCTCCACGAAGGCAAAAAGCCGAGTGCAGTCTCTCGTGATCCGTGCGAGGATGAGCTTTACTGAAAACTATACCGTTCTTATTTTACAGGCATGGAGCAGTTCGAGCAACTGCTAACGTGCGCGATATGCCTGGATCGCTACAGGAACCCGAAGCTTTTACCATGCCAGCACAGCTTTTGCATGGAACCGTGCATGGACGGCCTCGTCGATTATGTTCGTCGACAGGTCAAATGTCCGGAATGTCGTGCAGAACATCGTATACCTTATCAGGTGAGTTTATACAAATTTATATATATATATATATATATATATATATATATATAATTTTATGTGCTTATGATTTTTTTAAATCATCCGATTTTTTTCCTCCATTTTCTGTATTTTTTTTCCTCGATTATTATTATTTTTTTTTTTCGAATGAATCGAATATTCGAATTTTAAAGCACGAATTTCAAATTATAATGTGAATAGAAAAATATTTGTTGATATTTTTACATATATATTCTTGTATGTTAATATAAATTTTTTAATTCGAATAAACCGACATTATTGAATGGGATATCTAAATTTAGTCGCGATTATATTAAAAATGAATAGAAAATTGTTCGTTGATATTTTACTATAGGCATATGTAATTACATTTTAATGCTATAAAATATTTTTTCTGTATGAGTCGACATTTATTGAATTGTAAATACGCTTATAAATGAAAAATGAATGGAAAAATATTCATTGATATTTTTGTATACATACACATTATATATACGACCATTTATAAATCTCTCATCACTTTTACTTGTAAAAATAACTATATATTATTTGTCACATTTGATTTGAACGTTGACAGTGATCAATAAATAAAATCAATTTCATTGAAATTTTTATATCTAAATAATGAAATAAATAAAGAGAAAAACTTTTATTTATAAACATAAAAGATTTTTTTCTTATTCCATCTATTTTATGAAAATGAATTATATATGTATATATATATATATATATATTTATACAATTATTCTTAAATTAAATTAATTTAAATTATATGTCCGGTGAGGTGTTACTAATGGCTACGTAAATAGATACATACGTACACCAATGACCAACATATTTTATTACGAGCTTAGTATTCGAAAAAAAGCAATCCGTTCGATCAAGATACAGTCGAGTCGTTAAAACGAACATTGGCATATTGCCCAAACGAAAATTCCAATTGGAAAGGCCGTTCGTACGAGAGAGAACTTTAGGAACGTAATCCTATCGGCTCGATATCTTCTTCGATAATTGTTCTCTCAAAGTAAACATCGATTATGTCTGCCATCTCGTTGTCATTCCATATCGATCGTTCGTCGATAATGAAATTCTATGGGATTTTCTAACACCCTTAAATCCTAATTTCATATACATAGAATAAATATATCGATTTTGGATAATCAGTTTGATCATGTTAACGTTAACATCGCCATTTAAACGTAATCACTGCTCTCGCTAACTCCCCTAATTGAGTTAAATGACTCTCATACTTTAATTACCAATCAACGTGAAACATTTATTAATTACTTTAAGGATACTACATAGAAACGTAATTAAACTTATACGATTATAACAATTAGTTATGCGAATAAATATAGAAAATCACCTTTACTCAATATTTTAATGAATATCGCGTCTATAATGTTTTAATAAATATTCAACTTTCAAGTTATATGTGCCCTCGTATAATATAAATATACGAATATGCGTACGTAAATATGCATCACGTTATTGCATATCTCGATTATTAACAAGAGTAGAAGTAAAAAAGTAAAAAAGGAAATTAAGGAATTTTTGTTTTTCTTCTTTCTTTCTTTCTTTCTTTCTTTTTTGTTTCTTCTGTTTTTTCTGTTTTTCTTTTCTTTTTTTATTTTTTTATTTTTTTTTCTATTTAATTTTCCATAATTAACATCGTACTCGGTGTAATGTTGAAATTAAAAAGGCTTTGAATACGAGAAAAGGGGAACAACAATGACGAACGAAAGAAAAAAAATTTCATATGAATTTTTTATGTTAAAATAAAACAAAATTTTTCAAGCTCGCTGCTCGTTCTTTTAATTTCACTTTTTTTTCTTCTTTTTTTTTCTTTTTTTTTTTACATTTTTATATCCTCAAACATATATGTATATATGTAATATATTTTTTAGCGGAAAAAATTTTATACATATATATATATATATATATATATATATATATTTAATTCGAAATAAATGTTAGAAATTCCATTGAATTTCCTTCCATGAGTTATATCACGTTAATGCAATAGCGTTGTTTCCTAATAAAACGAAACGAAACGAAACGAAACGAAACGAGACGAGACGAGACGAGACGAAACGATACGAAGCATTGGGAGTAAGAGAAGGAGATTTCAAAAGCTGCTCTATCGACCCAGACTCGGACATTTTGAACGAGCCGTCAAAAAGTGTTTCGGCAAACCGCACAAGAGCCTCGTACCGATCATCATCGATATACCGCGTCGATGCTACGATCAATACCATTAAGCCGTCAAAGCAGGTTATTAATCTGATTTCGCATGGCGAGTATACTCTCGCGAGCAGGTGTTTTACGCTCGTCGAACTTTATCTCGCAGCGATGCAAATAAAATCATTCCCTGATATATATATATATATATATATATATATATATATATATATATATATTCCATCGAAATAGAAATAAAAGGAGACGTCGCGTTTATATACACTGTGATTCGTGTCAATCTCATTTTTTTTCTTTTTTTTTTTCCTTTTCGTATATATTACGATATCCAATTTTTTTGGCTATTTTTTTTTTTTAAGGAAAAGAAAAAATGCATTCTCCATTTTACAGGTTTACATTTTGGATAGATTATTAAATTACGATTTAAAAATGAAAGTATGTCTATAAAAACGATTAGATAATAATTAATTTCTATTAAAAATTGAGAAAAGTTTTTAAATAATATATCTTTGTGAAAAATATTCTACATTTCTTTTTTTTTCTCATTGATATAATAATACGTTAAATATTATTGTAAACATGTTTATGTTTTTTTAATCACATTTTAAAAGATTAAAGGAACATATATGAGGGTAATCGCTAGTAATTATTTACAGTAAAAAGTTACAATTATATCGATTATAATTATATCGAAAAATATTGATTAACATTTAAATTGAATTTGATCGATCGAAGGAGAAATATAGTGAGATGATAATCTGACTATTTCGATACACCCTGTAGATTTTGTTCATATTACGTGATTGAAAATATTCGAGGCAAATTATCGTACTTCAAAGAGCTACCTTCTCTCTCTCTCTCTCTCTCTCTCCTTCTCTCACTCACTCACATTCTCTCTCACGGATGATCGGAACTTTGGATTCGGAATTTTGAAAGGATTTGATAAAACATTGTAAAAAATTCAAATGCAAACATTTATATTCTATATACCATTAGATATATATATATATATATATATATATATATATACATATGTACTTTGTTATGTATGTAAATATCTACATACGTTGAAAATTTGATAGAACGTTCACCAATCAAATTATACCGTCTCGATCGTTAATGCTAATCTCTATTACAACCTAACAGGGTGTTCAAGCCTTCCCTACCAACGTGACGCTACAACGATTTTTGGAATTACACATAGAGATCACAGGGGAATTGCCAGATCCAACCAGTGGTCAGACCATGGAACGATGTGGTGTCTGCTCAGAAAAGAGCTACTGTTCCCTCTGCGTCCATTGTGAGAAGAAATGTTGTCCTGAATGCAAGGACGCCCATATGGACATCCTTAGACGTGAAATAACTCGTATCAACTCCCAGGTAAATAAAATTATCATTTTAATTCTAATACGATAGTTTTTACATTATAAGACCTGTCAAAATATTTTTCAATATCTTTTCAAATCTTTGTACTATATGTATATACATATTTTTATTTTATTTTTTTTTTCTTTGGTTTTTTTATTAATAATTACATTTCAATCGGAGTGAATTAAATGAATTCACTTAGGTTCCCCTTATTTTTTATTTACTACTGAGTTGCGTGTAAAAAAAAAAAAGAAAGATAAAAAATAGAAAGAAGAGAAAAAATTGCGTTTTAAGGTTACTTAAAAAAAAAAAAGAAAATAATTACAAAATTGCTAGATTTGAAGAAATTTAAAGAAGTAATTGTTAAAAAAAAGGAAATAATTATCAAATCTTCGTCTCTTTGAAGATTTTCCTTTTTTTTTTTTTTTAAGTCTAACAATTTCTTTTCTTTTTTTCTTTTTTTTTTTTTGAGTAACGACAATTCTATGTCGAATATTTTTAATTCAATATTCTAATGAAATAATGACGATTTGAAAAATTTTTAAAGTCCAATCAAACTAATGACTATTCTTGAAATGTATAATACGTATTTTTACAATTCGCTGTACAAGAAGATTTCTAGGGAAAAAAAAAAAAAAAACAGAAAAAGAAAAAAAGGAAAGAAAGAAAAAGATAAATAATAATTTTATCATAATGACGGTAACGAAGAAAGATCGATCGATCGAGACATAAAGTACAATTTTTACGAAATCTTTAGAAACAAGATTATAATTTCTATCCTCAAAATTTTGCCAAGACTTTGGAGGACATCTAAAATTGCAGCGTTAAAATTTGCAATACGTCCAAGTTTTTCCGACTGCTTCTCGAATGTTCGAACAGAATCGTGGATAGAATTTAATCACGATCGCATCCTAATGCAGACTCAACGTCCTGTTTGTTTCATAGTACATACGTCATCGAAAATGACGACGACGACGACGACGACGACGACGACGACGACAGGGACGACGAAATATCGACACATGTAACTATGTATATCCCACTGATTCATGATTATTTCCACGTGATGGAATAAATTTTCCAACTATTTCGTCCGATTTCATTGGAAAATTCTATTATTTCGTTAAATTTTAAAAATAGACAATATTCTTTTTTATTACGTAAGAATATTTCCTTTTTAATTTATCATAATTAATATTTCTATGGACGACGATATATCGACGAATATACATATATAGATCATTAAACACACGTAAGCACGTATTAATATGTATTAAATACGTATAAAAAAAAAAGACAAATATATTAATCGACATATACATACGTATATAAAACGACATACGTTACGTAATTATAATACGTACGAAAAGTAATGCAAAATAAAAAATATTCGAAATAAAAAAAAGAAAAATATATATATATATATATATATATATATATATATATACATTATATTATCGTTCTTTATATCACCTGAGAAATATAAACAATCATTAACGTCGTAACGTTGATTAAGTTGTTCTATCTTTTTTCTTTTTCTTTTTCTTTTTTTTTTCCATTGTTTCTCAAAAAGAACATACACGTTATAAAATATATACCGTAATAATAAACGATGCAGTATGCTTTAGAGAAAATTAAAAGAATTATGTATCCCTATGTACCGCAATGCAGAAGGATGAAAATTGTCGCTAAATAAGTAGAAAAATATATATCCACGGGAATAAGGTGATACATACATAGATACATACATATATGTATGTATGTATATATGTGATATATATCACGTAATTTTATTTTCACGTATGTACATATGTACGCTTGGTGAAAGTAACATACTGTGGCTACTTTAACGGGCCATCCTGAAACTTCGCGAAGCGACTCTGAAAGTAGGAATAACGTGAGAGAGAGAGAGAAAGAAAAAGAGAGAGAGAGAGAGAGAAAGAAAAAGAGAGAGAGAGAGAGAGAAGAAAAATAAAAAAAAGGTAATAGTAAGGAAGGATGCTCGTAGTACACAAAGCACATGGCTCACACGTGTATTTTATGAAGACTCGTTTACGAAAGGGAATCTCAACGACTTACCTCCTCCTTCTCCTCCTCCTCTTTGTCCTCCTTCTCCTTCTCCTCCTCCTCCTTCTCCTCCTCCTGTTCCTCCTGTTCCTTCGGTGGTAACACATTTTCAGCAAATTTCTTTTCTACGTTGCCAGGAGGATCGTAGTTGCAGACAATATAGATCTGTCCGGTCGGAGAAGTGACCATTCCAAATCCCATAAATTTTGTTTCCTTCCATACCAGTTGCGTAAAATGACGTACCACCTTTAAATTTACTTGGGATTCTTTGTATTCGTAATATTTATTTTCCTGATACCTGTTGTATGAACAAAAACGCGTATCGTATCGTAATCGTTTTCTTTAATGAACGTTTATGATGAGGAAAATAAAAAAAATAAATAATATATATATATAATACAAAAATAAAAGAAAAAAAAAAAAAGAAGGAAAAATAGAATTTTCGATAAATCTCAAAGGACGAGCTAAAAGTTTCAATTTAAAAGAAAGACAGAAAAAAAAGAAAAAGAAAAATTTGAAACACCTTCGTGAACATATACGTATAAATTTTTGATCAGCTCTGTATTATCGATTAATGAAACGTATTTTGTTGAAAGATTTCATAATTAGAATATAAATAATATATTAATGACGATAATATATAAATGCGATATTAGAAAAATGAAACGAGAGAAGAAAAATCATCGTTAGAAAATTATTTCCGTATTAACCAAGAGTCAACAGCTTCGACGACGGGTCCTGAGCTACTAACGTCCCCGATGAAAACAACGTATACGTTCTCTCCGTAATGTAATGTTTTTCTTCGTGTGGTGTCACCTTTTTTCGCCAAATAGGTCGCCCATACGTTAGCATATTTGTTCAGCTATAAACAAATAGTACGTATTATTATTCTATAGAAATACATTGAGCTTATCAATGAGTCAGGCTGACCTTCATTTTACGATTGGAAATATTACGAACAACTTTAAATTACGTAATATTAAATTATCATTAACAATAATACGAAAAATATATTTCCAAATAATAATCATATTTATTCGTAAATAACTAATATGAAACGATTCTTCGAATGATAAATAATATACGAGAAATAATAATATCGTTTGCGTATCGAATAAATTATTTAATCTATTCTGGAGTATTAAACCATAGATTTAAAGTTCTTCTTCCTTTAATGGCTCGAATCACGAATAATTAATATTCCACGATAAATCAGATTTATGTGCCATAGTAGAAGTCTTTATTGGATGATATTAAATCATCAAAAGGATAAGCGTTTCCACCAACGTATACCTAATGACTCTAATTATCTTTCAAAGAGGTATTATAACGATGATATAAAACGAACGGTAACGTGTCTATGACTGAAGTTGTACAGAAAAAAAAAAGAAATAAAAAAAATAAAAAAGAAAGAAAAAATCAAAGAAACATACATACGTATTTATATACAATATATATATATATATATATATATATATATATATATATATATATATAATACCTTTGGTAAAATTTGAAGTGGTTCAGATCCATGAATGGCTCGGTAACGATTGTGTGCGTCCAAGCAATCCTCTATGAATTTTCTACGCATGAAAAACAAATATCCTATCATACGTTGCAATCGAAACGGACTATGGATCTAAATGTAGAACTCACTCCATCGTCGACGAAACAGCTTGGTGCCTTACGAAGCGAGATACGAACCAGAACTTTCTTTTACGTCATCTTCGAGAACGGTGAGCGTTAGGTTACGCTTGTAGAAACGTTGAGACATTTTGATTCAAGAAAACAACAGAGAGATGTATCTGTTGTGTATGTGTATGTGTGCGTGCGTGCATGTACGTGTGCGGGTGCATATATATGCGTCTATATGTGTCTATGCATCTATGTTCATATATAATGGAGTGAATTCAAATCGAATTTATTTCTAAAAATAAATGAACGAAGACACGGTTTATCCGTGAAATATAATGATCAATAATAGATTACCAAGAAACTTTTGTAAATTGATAGGAAATGAAAAAAAAAAAAAAAAAGGAAAAAAAATCAAAAAATTTTCACAATTTCTATTATTACTTCTTTAAATGTGAATATTTTTCTCTGAAATATATTGTATATATATATATATATATATATATATATATATATATATATTTCTATTCTATCTGTTTTTTTTTTTTTTTAATTAATAAACGTATCATTTTTTTGTTTTTTTTTTTTTTTTTTTTTTTTTTGTTTTAAATTCAAACGTATCCCAATTTTGTAGGTTCGAAGAGGTCTCCATAGGCTACAAGATGCCCTGGCATTGGTCGAAAAAAATACGTTGGGTCTGCAAACTAATTGTGCTGCGGTTGCCGAAGAAGTAGACGAGATTTATAGAAGATTGAGCAAAGCTTTAAAAGACCGAACGGAATATCTACGCAACGAGGTCGATCGGTACTTAGGTACCGAGTTACGTGGTCTGATACAACTCAAAGAGAATCTCGAATTGGAAATCGCAAACATTCAAAGTAACTGCGATTTGGCAGAGGCTCACATCAATGAGAATGTTCCTTGGGACGACTCGGAGCTTCTCGATACGAAAGAACTCTTTCTACGTACGGTAGAATTCATCAGGTTTGTCTATACGAACTCTTTGGAATCGAGAATTCAAATACATACGTATAAAAATATTTTTTATTCGTTAAAAAATTATTCTTGAGAAAAATCCTTCCACGTGGAAAGAATGATAATTGAAAAGAAAGAAAATATTGAAAATTTATTTCTTCCTTCTTCTTTCTTGTTTTCTTTCTTTCTTTCTTTCTTTCTTTCTTTCTTTCTTTCTTTCTTTTATTTTTTTTTCTTCTTGCTCTTCTTCTTCTTCTTCTTTTTTTAATTTTTCAACGAGTTTTCCTATATGAAAAATTTCTTATATTAACGTTTGTCTTTTTAATAATATTAGAAATTTCGAGTACGAAGCCGGGGATTATAGTAGAAGAGTGCGTTTCATGATGGCTCACGATCCAAATCAATTAGTTCTTCACGTGGCTGGTTATGGGGAGCTCAACATCAAACCGGAAAGCGGAACCGGAGGACTGTTAGGTAGTTCAAGCAGTTTAGCACCCCCAGGTGGTTCTCCGGGACTTATGAGAAGCAAGAGCGATCATCGTCTTGCTTCGCAGTATCGACAGCAGGAAGAGGAACGGCTAGCCAGGAATCGATACGTTCCTGAATACGAGTAATTATCGTCCATTCGATTCTGCCAATATAGATAATATATGATCGTTCATATTGATCATATATATGTAAATCATAGAACGTTTAATCTCGATCATCGATGAAATTAATACCCCTATCACTCTCTAATTCTCTCTCTCTCTCTCTCTCTCTCTCTCTCTCTCTCTCTCTCTCTATCTATCTAACTATCTATCTCTTTCTCTCTCCCTCTTTCTTCTTTTTTTCTTTTTTTCTCTCATTTTCCTATGCATATACATAAGCGCATAATATACGTATGACATATGTGTGTCTGTGTGTCTGTGTTTGTGTGTATGTGTGTATACATGAATATGTACATATAGGATATTTCATGAGAAAGAGAAATACTTAACGAGAACGTGGCTTCGTAAAAAATGTATTTAAGCCCGGACGGGAATTACGTTGGTCCATTGCCAAGTGGCGCTCGAGAGAGTATATTTTTCAGAGTGTCCCACATATCTGTTCCAGCATAAGTTATAAATACGCTCGCGTACCTCTTCATTCGACTTTTCTACGTCCCTTTTCTATCCTTACCAATGTTCGTCTTTCTCTTTCTCTCTCTCTCTCTCTCTCTCTCTCTCTCTCCTCTCTTTCACCTTCTCTTCTCTTTTATTTATTTTTTTTTCTTTTTTTGGCTATCATTTACCATCGGTGCAATAGCTATTATTACTAATCTAGTATCTTTTCTTTTAGAAATTAGGTGGGAAAAATTTTTCCTCAACAATGTCGCTCCATCCCACGGGAACATATAACGTAGACCATTTAATTGTTAGCGCTTTAATGTAATTTCACGTGGTTAGACCGTTGCCAACAAAGCCGTTATGTTAAATGGCCTCGTCAGAATGTAAATTAAAAGCCGGGAGAGCAAGCAAGTATGTAACACCAGCATCACGTTATATTCAGTAATTCACGTCGCGAACAATTTTTAAATGCGAATCGTATGTTGGGAAAATGCTATTAAACGAACCAATCGACAATCTCGTTTGTATGAATATAATAAAAACGTAGATAGATAGATAGATAGATAGATAGATAGATAGATAGATAGATAGATGGAGAGAGAGAAAGAGAGAGAGAGAGAGAGAAAGAGATATGATTAATCGATCTGAATTATGTCAATAAACAATTAATAATGGTAATACAAAGAGAAATAATATAATAATAATGATGATAAATATCGTTTATATTATACTATGGTATATAATATAAATAATATAATAACAGTTTCGTGTGCATGTGGTTTCTATATATAACGGGATATAAAAAATTGCAACAGCTTTCCTAACACGAAATACTTATAAAACAGTTTTCATATAGCACACGTTTCGCTTAACACGATTTCGATAGAACACGGAACGTATTAACTATATTGTAGGACCGTTTCCAGTGTATACGTACACTGGAAATATATATATATATATATGTATATTGGTAATATTTGGTATATAATAATCATAGTAAAAAGAAATTTTATCGTACGAATAAAAATTTCAGATACGAGGCACCTGAGTACGATGCACCGAGGAACAAGTCACGTTATAGAAGTCGCTTTATGAGGCATCGCGATGGTGACGATTCCGATGGTGATTCGAGATCAACGGTGAGATTCACGTCGACGCCACAGGAATCTGGATTACGTGAGCGTGTATTGGATACGGAGGATGCTGCCCGAGGACCTTTGTCCGGTATTTTCCGTTTGACGGATTCGCCGCGCGTCATGAAGAAACTTCAAGAGTGCGAGAGAGCTGGCAAAAGAAAGAAGGAAGAATCCGCTCAACCTGCGCAACCACAAACACCCAAACCTCAGGTTAGCCAAATCCAAATGTAGAATTTCGAAGGATCGAACGTAAGGCGAGATAAAAGAAAGGAAAAAAGAAAAAAAAATATTTATATATATATATATATATATATATATATATACATAGTAGATCTTTTTCGTATTTTAATGTCGAGTATGATTCGATGATACACGTTAACAATATCGAGTTATATTCGATACGAATTTGTCATACTATCAACGTACAAGATACTCAAGCCCTGGCCCCGAGTACAAAAGGCAATGAAAAATAGTTCGTTTAAAATCAAGCCTTGTTGATCCCTTTCGTACGTACGTGTAGGTACAAGTTAGAATAGCACCGACGGCAATGGCGAGACAAGTCAGCGAGGACGACGAAATTTCCAGGATCAAGAAGCAGAACAAGAACGCGGCACAGCCAACGGTGGAAACGGTGGAGGAACGACAGCCACAACCACCAACGGCGGCGGCCCATCCACAAGCGAGAGAACAACCACAGACGGAGCGTGAAGCGGAGGAAGCTGCGGTCAGAAGACCACCCACGATCGCGAGGTATTAAGCTCCCTTGAATGCGAACTAGGTCGACCATTTCTTTTAATTTTAAGCTGTATTTAGCGTTTTTAAAAATGGAAAGAAAAAAACGAAAGAAAAAAAAAAAGAAAAAAGAACAGATAAAAATACGCATATGTATAATATGAGCTTATATACTTTTGACTTTTGCTATCGCGTAAGTTAAAACTTTTCCCTTTGACAAAAGAAAATTTTATTCGTACAACCCTTTACATATGCATCATATATATATATATACATCTATATAAGTATATATATAGATATACATTTTTGTGGAACGACAGGAGAACCTCGACTGACACCCACGCTCCCGCAACTAGAAGCGCTTCCTCGGACTCTAGCACTGGCTCTGAGAGTTCAACGGGATCGGGAATTCGTAGCACGGGCGCCCCATTCACCGCCGAGGAAATGAAACAAAAATATCTGTCGAGAGCACCGCCAACAAATACGACCACAAGCACGGTCACTGCCAGTTCCGGCAGAGATTCCACGGCGAGCAGTGTTCCTGCTTCGAGGCCCTTCCAAAGCCGATTCTTAGGCACAGGTTGATAAAACGTGACTCTTGAATTTCTAATGAAACCCCACCCCCTGTTACATTGTGATATATATTTCCATTGCGGAATGTATTTTTAATACGATATACCAAACTAATTTGTAAATACCCTAGAAGGCTAGGGAAAAAACGTTGTTATAACGCGTGTGAAAATTTAGATTGTATATTACTAAATATATTACAGGTACATAGAGAGCTCTTTCATTGATTCGTATATAACGAGATGTTAATAATCGAAAAATTTTTCTTTTATTGTAAACGTAGTTGCAGCTGAGGTGCATTGAGACTTTTTATAATAATTCCCGGTGTGTTTTAAAAGGAAAAGAAAATTAAAGGGATTGAAAGAGGGGGAAAAAAGAAAAAAGGAAATATAGGAGAACTTAACGAATCCAACAGAAAAAAAAAGAAAAAGAAGAAGAAGAAAAACAGAAAGGAAAAAAAAAGAAAAGAAAAGAAAAGAAAAGAAAAGAAAAGAGAAAAGAATTGATGTAAGCAAAGGAAATACAATAAAGATAAAATCTAGCGAAATGTATTTCGTGCTTTTGCGAAAGATATATTACCTTGTAGATTAGAAGAAGGTTATATCTATTCCTATACATATACATATACATATACATATACATATACATATACATATACATATACATATATATATACATACACACATATACATACATCGTTAGAGATTTATTTTACGCAAGTGTGATGGAACTAAATCTCGCTGGACCTGGTCTTTTTTCTTTTTCATATTTTTAGGTAATCGCGCGGCACCCCCACCACCAACAACGACACAGCCAAGCAGAGAGGAAACAACAACAACGAAAAAGAAAGAGGATGACGAGGAGGATGATGAGGAAGAGACGAGCAGTTCCTCTGAGGAAACAGAATCCGAAACTGAAGAGGAGTCAGAAACTGATACTCATACGACGCCAACAACGTCAACCATCCCATCGTCGATTCCTCAGGATCGTCAAAGAAACGACGCTGCTATGGCACGAACCGACATAGGTGCATTACTAGCACGAAGTGCCGAGGCCCGACGTGGAAGCAAGGAGGACTCACCCTCGACCAGGCAAGTACCTTTTTAAAATTAATCGATCCAACTTTTTATTCAGATTATCTCGTTATATCGTTCATCGGCCATTTTAATCGCACAATGTCATTCAATTTCATCGCCGATAAATAAATATTATATATCCTATCAATATGCAAAAGTATATTGAGAACTATCAAAACTGATATTTCATATAAATTTTATATATTACGAGATGGTATTAAGGGAAAAATCATTGTCGTACTTTTAAATGGATATTAATCATACGAACGTCGACAATAATTTTACATCGATCTCTCGCACCCTTTTCTTATACTCCTTCAACCCCGTTAACCCTAACTCTCACTTTTCCTCACCCAATCTGTTCTAACCTTTGGCCTCCATACATTTATCTCGATTTCGATTTTAACGAGTGACGTTTCGGTGAAATTTCGCGAAAATAAAACAAGATTTTTCGACGCGTTGAAAATTGGATGACCATTGGTGTGTGTGTGTGTGTGTGTGTGTGTGTGTGCCGGTAGATATACAACGAAAAAAAAAAGAAAAAAAAAAGATTCCACCCCACAGAACGTTCGCCGATGCGATAAAGTCGACAGATTTTTACGTGACAAGAGACCCGCGTCAGTTTGCTTTTTCAAATAAACCATGACTGACATCGGTCAAAGTTGTAAAATCGTATCGGCGAAACGTTATCTCGTGGTGGCCGAAACCATACCATTTTTCTTTTTCTTTTTGTTTTTCTTGTTTTTTTTCTTTTTTTTTTTTTTTTTTCTTGTTGTTGTGTTAAACATACACGGAAATTGTTACGTACGTTCACCTCCTTTCTTGTCATTTCGTTTTGCGTGTTCTTAGTCGTCTCTAAAAAAAAAAAAAAAAAAAAAAAAAAAAACAAAAAAAAAACAAAAAGAAAGAAAGAAATAAAAAACAAAAAGAGAAAAGATAAAAAAAAAAATGTACTTAGGTGTAGTACATTAACAGGCTCGTAAACTTAATCCAATGTAGTGTAAGCACAATTACGTTTATAATTAACGATGACTATCAATCGTATGTACGTATGCCACCAGCCACGACGATAGATTTATCGTCAATTTTGTTTTCTTCAATCAAAACCGGATATCGGTACGCGCGTACGGTCGCTAGATCGAAGACTCGAGGTTTTTTTTCGATCATTCATTCGTCAGACAAAAGTGCGAAAAAAAAAAAGATCAATCGATATATCGCGATAATAATAATAATAATAATAATAATAATAATAATAATAATAATAATAATAATAATAATAATAATAATAACGATAATAAAAATAATAATAATAATAAAAAGAAAATAACAAAAGTAAAAAACAAAAGTAAAAAAAAAAAAAAAGAAAGGAAAGATAAAGAAAAGAAAAATATTACGAGAATAAAATGTTTAAAAGAGAAGGAGAAATGAGAGGACGAAGTAACGAGGTCGAAAAAAATGTTCGAAAGAGAAAAGAACGAAAATACAGAGTCAAAAGAAAGGAATAAAATTATAGAGCTAGAAGATAGAGATAGATAGAGAAAGAAAGAGAGAGAGAGAGAGAGAGAGAGGGAAAATTCCACACAAGCAAAAAGAAAAGAATCGATCGATCGATCTAATTGTTAGGTATTCGACATCGAGGGGAAGTCCCGCGCATATCGTGACGAGCCCGACGAGCCCACTGACGATGACGACGACGAGCGGCTCGATGATGACCGGAAGTGGTGCCGGAAGTGGTGTTCCGATATCCTCTACTGGTGGCTACTCCTCCAGCAGGTTCGTAAAAAAGACGTCCGTATTAGACGACGATGACGATGTTGCCGAGGACGATGACGATGACGATAAGTCGGGAAAAAATCTATTTAAACTTAATCATCTACAACGTGGACGTTCGTTTAGTCCCATTGATAAGGATGATAATATTAGGATGTTTGTTAATATATTGTGCGATAAAGAAGTCTTCGTTATCGAGAGATCGGCCGACGATAAAAAAATTATCGCGAGTATGCCTAACGAGGACGTTATTGGATCGAGCGAGCTCGTTAGACCGAAAGTTGATTACGTTGAGACAATAACATCGACGATGACAATGACGACGACGACGACGACGACGACGACGACAACGACGACGATGACAACTACATTGACGACATTGACGAATACCACCAATACCTCATCTCATTCCTCATCCCGATCCGTGAATAGTATCACTGACCGTCGTCTCGAGGGTAGCAATCACGAGGCCGGCGAGCACCAACGCGAGGACGTTGTCATCGACGGTCGTAAGGTGAACGGCTCGACGACCGTTTCTGAGAAACTCGAGGACGAGAAGAAGAGAGAGTATAAGACTGATAAGGACGAAGAAGATGAAGAGGACGAAGAGGAGGAAGAGGAGGAGGAGGAAGATGATAGTGAAAAGGCAGATGGTCATTTGAAGGACGAAGAAGAAGAGGAAGAATCCTTAGCCGGCGATGAATCTACTTCGGATTCGATGGAGGACGAGGATGAAAAGACAGTGATCAGCGTTCACAAAGGATCGGACAGTGAGAGAACGGCACGTAGTTCTTCGCTTCTCTCCGATAGAAGTAACGGCGATGACCTTTTCGACGATAACGGTTGGCTCGTTACCGATCAAGATCTTCAAACGGACGGATCTACGAGATCGTCGAAGAATCAAGAATCAAATTCGTTCGAAGTAGAGGACGACAGAATGATTGAGAAGGCATCGGCAACGATAGAGGAAACGAAAAGGGAGGACATTTTGAACTCAACGAAAATCCCTGAAAGTTCATTCAGAAGCAGAGTGTACAGGCAGAGCAGTATTGGGAAAAATGGTTGGTTGATTTCGGACGAGTCTGAAAGCGAATCCGAAAGGGCAATATCCCCGGCAGGCTCGACTAAAAATACGGATAACGTTAGAAACGAAGAAGACGTCGAGATAACAGAAGAGGAGGATACGAAAGGATCGGTAGAATCGAAAAAAGACAATTGGAGCATCGAGGAAAATGGATGGATGATAGTGAACGAAGATGAATCTACTGGTAGTATCCCGAATTTATCGGGATATAAAGATCCTTCTTCTTCGCCGGAGAAAACGGAGTTAAAGAGAGGAAGATCGAGCACGATCCGTTCCCAAACGACCACCGACCTCGTAACGAGAGCTAACGTCGAGAACGGCGCGTTAATCGCGAACGCTAACCGTACTAAAGAAACCGAAAGATCCGACGAGCACGAAGATGCGACCGATGTCGATATCAGTATACCGATGCAGATGGTAACCACCGTCTTCTGTGTGTCCGTACTGTGTTACAGTGTTCTAATGAACCTTTTCCTTTAATCGTAGCTCACACACACCCTATTCATTATTATTTCTCCCTCGTTATCCCGGTTCAACTTTCATCAGCCACCAATTATCATTCCGCCAATCCTATTCGCAACACTCCCTATTTTCACCGGCTTCCTTCAATGGTCGCGGCGGTTGTGCGTGTTAAATATTTTATCAGCTGAATGAAACGAAAAGAAACATGTTTACATACGAACGTGCCTTTATCGTTCATATACATACATATATATATATATATATATATATATATATATATATATATATATATATATACATGGTAGAAAAGTTCTTTCTCAATGAAATAGTTTAGTCAGCCGCGTTGTTTAGTTGGCCCACAACAAATTTTCTCTTTCGTTTAAAAAAGAAAAGAAATTGAGAAAATATTTACTAGTGCAAACCGCACGCGTTTCCGACAACGCGTAACGTCGATAAACCTCCTTCTAGTACTATAACCGCCTACAACCTTTATTTCTCGTTTTTCGTCGTGTTCGTCTAATTTCTCTCCATAAATAACGGTATTACGGCTTCTTAAAAAAAAAGAAAATAAAAAAAAAACAAAAAAAAAAGGGGGAAAAAAAAGAAAATAAAAGAAAAAAGAAATATGGTAAAATGTTGCGATAATAACGTGTACGAGTTTACGCGTTAATAACGGAGAAAAGGAAAAAGAAAAAAATATGTCGCGTTCTCGGCTTCGTAAATAACATCGTGATTTAAATCAATGATCTCCACTTGTTTTCTTATCATTAACACTAATTAATAACTTCAACGTGTTACACGAATTCATCATTTTACCATGTTTTATTAAAAACCAAGGAGAAAGTGAACGGTAGAGAAAGAAAATGAAAGAAATTAAAAAATCTAAAGTAGAAAACTAGAAAAAAAAAAAGAAAAAAGAAAAAAAAAACTAATCCGAAATAATTGGCAAAAATAATCAGGTGTTCGTTCGTCAGAAACTTTTTTTATCGTTTCGGATTAACACTAATCTTTTCATTTTTTTTTTTTTGTTTTTGATTTGTTTTGTTTTGTTTTGCACGCAATAGTCTTGCACGACGCAAAACTCATATCCCTCATAAAAAAGAAAAAAAAAAAAAAAAAAACACACAAAGAGAAAAACAAAAAAAAAAAAAAAAGAAAAAACATTCATTCATTTTAATTCGCTTAAAATATATAATCGATGTTCCATTGATCTGTCTTTATAATATATAACACGTTCTTTGTCTCGCTTCATCCTCGTTCGGATGATAATTACGATATCAGACTCGATGGACTTATTATTTAATAGTTTGCATTATGCTTCTCGTAAACGTGCATTTGAAATATTGTGATAATCGTAAGGCCGCGGATTTTAGTCTTTCTTTTAGAAATTGATTCGCCGAGAATCACGCTTCCACGCGTCTAATTTCTTTTCTTCTCTTTTTTTTTTTTTTTTTTTTTTATCATTACTATTATTTTAGATTATACAGATAGCTTTCGTAATATAATTTTTTTTCTTTTTTTATATAAAATTTCTACGATAAAAAACGTATGTATATATACATATATATATATATATATATATATATATATATATATATATATATTACGTGCACACGTACACACACGTACACAGACATACACGCATGTACACGCGCGTCGATCAATCGCATTAAATAACAGAAAAGAAAAAAGAAAGAAAAAAAAAAAAAAAAAAAAAGAAATAGAAAGAAACGAGTGTAGTGAGAAACCGTCCTCCTATGTTAAAGCAGCTTTTAAAAAAAAAATGACAAAAAAAAAAAAGAAAAAAGGAAAAAAACAAAAATAAAAACCACGCAAAAACGAAGCTTTCAAAGTCGTTCCCATAACAACGCGATCTTTCGTCGGCGTTGCATTATCACGTGTTACATTTAAATACTAACACGTAATTGTCCCATCGTCGATGAACTTTATCGCGTGGTTATTTTTAAGTTTTTGTACTCTCTTCTGATCCTAGCGGAATACGTCGTTGCGTCAGTTTGTTGGTGTGGTAAATAAACTGCATTTCTTTGTGATAACTTCGTATTATTTATTTCCCTTTCAAACTGTCCTCACAGTATGTACATATGTACGTATATATATATATATATATATATATATATATATATATATATATATATATATGTATATATGTATACGTATAACAAAAAAGAAATGTTACCCGCTTGTGCATAAAATTTCTTTCTCGTTTAATTTCTCTTTCTATTCTTTTTCTCATATTAATATATTATTTATAACTCATTTTCTATTTTCATGTCAATCATTCGTACCGTCCCAGTTTTTGAATTGTATATTATATTATTTATTTAATATTATTATTATTATTATTATTATTATTATTATTATTATTAGTGTTGTTGTTGTTGTCATTATTTTTGTTGTCATTGTTATTATCATTATTATTATTAATATTATTGTTATTATTATTATTATATGACAATAACATTCGATAATAGATTATAAATGTCGATGTAAAATCTTTAATTACGATTCTTTCGATCGCACGTTTTCAGCGGGAATAACAGAAAAAAAAAAAGGAAAAAAAAGAAAAGGTACAAGAAAAAAGAAAGAAAAAAAAAGAAATTGAATTCCAACAAAAATGTAGATATATTTATTACACTGACAAATTGTACGTTCGAATTATGATAATAATAAATAATCGATTCTGGTCAGTGATAACTCAAACGTTTCACGAAATAGAAGTAAAATAACTTGATCATGATAAAAGAAACACTCAGTGCCGGATTAAGAAGGAACTTTTATATGTAAGGAAAAGGTAAAACTATAAAACGAATTTTTTTTAATGTCGTTTAAACTTATTTTATTAACCTACGCTTATATATACAAAACAATTACTAGATACTTTTTTTATCCTATCCTTTAAACAACCTTATCGTAATGAAGATCAAACATATAAACGTTGAATCATTTTTAAAAACGTTTTTTATTTTACATTTAATCCTCACGTTTATTGATTCCGGAATGCTGAAAACCCTTAATACGGCACTGGACTACGTTGTGAGAAACTCGACTCGTACCTCTCGCACGATGGGAAAAATTATCAGCCGATCTCATGTCAGGTATAATGCGTTATCATTCCCAAAATGCTTTACATGTTGTAGAGGCTGGCACATATATATAGTGAGTAGAAATCGCTTTCAAAAACTAACGATTTTCTTTCTTTTTTCTTTCTCCTTTTTTTTTTCTCGAGGCTCTGCGCAATTTCGATTCTTTTCTTTCTTTTCTTTTTTTTTCCTCATTCTTTCTTTCTTCCTTTCTTTCATGTATTTTTCCCTTCAATTTCTAACAAATAGCTTTGTGTAATGATTAAAAAAAAAAAATAAAAAAATAAAAAAAAAAACAAACAAACAAACAAAACCCAACAAAAAAGAACAAAAGACAAGCTTGTTAAAACGAATAACGCGAATAATAATCAACAAGTATTTGAATTAATCGAATTAATTCAATCATTTTACATGTGTCTACCTACATGACAGTCAAAACAGAACAGGACAAATTTCAAATGTCCACCGAACGAATTTCTTTTGAAAATAATTTTAATTACCCAATGACAAAACATAACATATTTCAAATTCTATTTATTTGGTCAGTATTTTTATATAATTAATGATAAGTATTTTGAAAAATAAATGGTCAATGTATATGAATATTTTAATCAGTATAAATAATTAAGTGTCACGTCACTTTTGCAATTAAATACTGATATTTTATTACAAATACTGTGACCATTTATTTGTAATACCGATTAAATGTTTAATAATATTGATCAAAATGAATAGCAGCTTAACTTATCGTGTTTTTTTTTTTTGGAATTTTCTGTAATTTCCTTTTTTTTTTTCTTTCTTTCCTTTTTCCTTTTTTCTTTTCTTTTGTTTTTTTTTCTTTTTCTTTGAATTTCTTTTTAAATCAGTTGATCACTAAAAAGAGAAGAAAAAGTTCGTTCGATCTTAAATGAAACTATAAATCGAACATTGTTAACATAGTAATCGATATGAAAGAATATCTCTCAATCAAATTTAAAATAATTTAATGGAAAGATCACGTACCTTGAACGCACATTTGTTTAATCATTTGTCAATACTACTACACGTTTAAATTCATCGCGATCGGTGGGAGCGGGAATTGGGGAGTCAGGAAATATCGAGCTACGTATATCAAACATTTTGCTTTCCATGACTGACCGTTCGAAGCAACTTCTGCAAAAATAAAATAATATCATTTGGGAAAATTTATTACGTGGAATCGAATTGACTATTCGTTTGGAAAAAAAAAAGAAAAGAGAAAGAAAAAAAATCATCCATCCGTTTTTACAGAAAAAAAAAAAAAAAAAAAAAAAAAATTTCGAACGATTCGCTTGTCGAATTATATCAATTTATTTTTTATAGCCATTGATTCGAATAGGAAAAAAAAAGAAAAAGAAAAAAAAGGACAAAACTAAACTCGATAAACAAAAAATATTTGATAGCTGGATCACGAACGATTCATTGTTTAATTTAATTTTTAACTCGAAACGAGACTCGAAAAAGTCTCATATAAAAAAAAAGTCTTCTTTGTTAAGTTAAATGCGTACACACGCGCGCATATATATATATATATATATATATATATATATATATTTCGTTCGTATAAAATTATTCGGAATTTTAATAATCGAGTAGCGACACGATAACGACTTTAATACACGTAACATCGCGCCAACAATTTAGAGTCAAATGGATTATGCTAATGGAGATAAAATCTACAAGGAACCAAAAGAAAAAGAAAAAAAAAAAAAGAAAATAACGAGAGAAAAAGAGAAAGAAAAGAGAAAAAAAATACTAATTCCGTGGTCGCGAGAAAGAGAACAGGATCGAAAGTGACGCGATCAATGATGGCGATCGGCCATCGTTCGTATCTAGAAGTTCGCGTGCATACAACGTTGCAATAACGAGATAATTCTGACATAAGAATAATCCTTAACGTTAATCTTACAAATTATCGACGTAATAAACACGCATACATATTACATAAATATATATATATATATATATATATATATATATATATACATGTACACACACACACGCGTACACACATACATATGCACCCCCCTCCTCCATGAAAGTGGGTAACAGTAACAAAAAAAAAAAAAAAAAAAACAAAAACAAAAATAAAAGTAAAAAAAAAATAAAAGGAATATACAATACCCTATAAGAATTGAGGAAAACGTCGATGTGCCGATAATGTTGCAGGTTCTTGAACAAGAGCAGAAGCCAGGCGGCAATGGCGACGAGGGAACGGGAGAGAGAACGGGAGAGAGAGAGGGAGAGGGAACACGAGAGAGAACGGGAGAGAGAACGCGAGAGAGAACGGGAAAGAGAACGAGAGCGAGAAAGAGAGCGCGAGAGAGAGCGAGAACGGGAACGGGAACGGGAACGGGAGAAGGAAAGAGAAAGGGAAAGGGAACGAGAACGGGAGAGAGAGAGAGAGAACGCCGTCTCTGGGATAGGAGAGACAGAGACAACGACAACGACAACCGAACCATCGACTCTACTTCCACGTTCGCGTTACGCCGCCCTGAAGGAGAGACGACAACGATTGGCTCGTTCGAGAAGCTCGCACAATTTCGGGGGCGACGAGGTCGATCTAGACGAGGAGCCACCGTCGCCAACAACCCAATCACCGAACGCTTATCTCGCGGCAAAATACGGCGCCGGTTCTGAACTAGCGCGTAGCCGTAGTACTCACGCTTTAAAGTCGAGGGAACCGAGCCCAGAAAGGGACCGATCAGGTGCCGAAAAGGATGGCGCCGCCCTAAGTTCCTGGGCAAGATATCTCAAAAATAAATACGGCAATCGTAGCGCCAAAGACAAAGAGCCGCCTTCCACGACTACCTCGATTCCCTCATCCAGGTGATCTGACTTTATTACTCATTCGAAGTCTTCAAATTGAATATCTTTATGTTTCGTTGAATAGACATTAAATATTGAATAGATATTCAAAGGATAGGAAGTTTTATTGTTTCATTGATATAGTCTATAATTCATTATGTAGAATTTGATGAGAAGAATGAAAAAAAAGAAATCATTAACACTGTTTATTATCTCCTTCATTATTTCACCTCCTCATTATTGATCTTTTAATTATTATCTTTCTTTTTTTTTTTATTTCTCTAGCGCCAGCGCAACCTCCAGAAGGTTATCACTCGGTCTACCTCTTAGGCACACCGGTCAAACGTCCTTCGAATCTTCTGACGACGATCAAAAAAACCCGTCAGGCTCCCCCACGTCCCCTACAGCAGCTCCCGTTATACCCGCGGCAGCAGGTTCCTCCACTAGGTCAGTATAAATTTTTCTTATTAAAAAATATTTCTTTTGGAAATATTAAAGAATCCATGATTAGAGAAATTTAATATGAATGTAGAAATAACACTATCTCTTACTTATCTCTGATCTTATCTTTATCTTTTTTTTATGGGAAAAAAAAAAAAGAATCCCGTACGCTACCTATGAACTTTATATTACCGACGTTTAATACTATTATTGATCCAACACACTTCTATATATTCAACTATATATCATCCATACGATGTAAATAACCTATATAATAATATCAATACAATATTATCAATTAAATGGTAAAAATATTCTCATTTTATAAATTTATCGATTGAACACGTGTTGTTCTAATTATCTTCACTTTAATGTTTCTGAGAATACGTAGAACTTTTAAATCCCTACATTCTTCTTTTGATTCTCTTTAAATCGATAAAAAGGAGAAAAATTCGTAAAGTTCCATTATATATATATATATATATATATATATATATATATAAAATTTTTTTTTTTTTTTATAATAATCTTTATTTCATCGTAGGAGTAATTATCTGCTAAAGCGGCGACAGCTGTTCAAGTTTGGGATGCGGGGGAGCGAAGCCGGATGCTTTACTTGGCCAAGAGGCCTTGCAATCGGCCCGGACAACACCATCGTCGTCGCCGACAGCTCCAATCATCGTGTTCAAGTAAATAATAACTTTCAGCAACGATGTCGTCCAACGATGTACGAAGGCCCTTATCAAAGAACACCGATTATCTGCGTAAAGGCTTAAAAGAGCCATTATTATTTATCTCTTGTCTGTGTCTTCTATTACTCCGATGACCCCATCCGATTAGAGAGAGAAAAGAAAAAAAAAGACGAAATGTAAAAGAGGAAAAAAAGAAAAAAAGAAAACAAATAAAATAAAGAAAGCAAAGAAAACAATGAAAAGAAAAAAAGGAAAAGGAGAACGATACGAAATTTTTTCAATCAAAATCGCAAAAAATTTCTCTCATATCTTTCGTTGAGTCGATCGTTCTCCTTCGACTCGACCATTTTAAAATAAAATAAAAAAAAACGAAGAAAAAAAAAAAAAGAAAAACAAACAAAGAAAAAAGAGTTCTCTTGGAAAGACACCCGTAGAAAGAAAACATAAATAAATATAAAACAAAAAAAGATGGAAGAGAAACAAAAAAAAAAAAAAAGGAAAAAAAACTATATATTCGGGGAGGGGCAGAGGGGGTGGGGGAAAGAGAAGAAAGGTACAGACGCGCGAGAGAGAATACGAACAAAAGTTTTCGGGGTTGACAGTTGTAATGATCGAGAGAGTCCAAATAAGGACACATATTTTTTTTTTTTTTCTAGAACGATAGATCTTTCTATAGTATGTACGGGATCCGTAGGAACTGGTCTCTGTACTTGTTTGAAACTTGTGATTTATAGACGTTTATATGAAGCATTGTTTTTCTTGTTACTCCCACCCTTTTGTTGAAAAAAAATATACTTATACGCATACATATACATATATTTACCTATATATAGATATATATAAATATATATATATATATATATATATATATATATATATATATATATATATATATGGAAAAAGAGAAAAGAAAAGAAAAAAAAAAAAGAAGAAGAATACATAATACGAAGATTATAAGTATAGACTTATCAACATTGTCTATACCTTCTTTTTAAAAATTCTTTTCAGCCGGGCAGATGATACCGCAACAGCAACACTCTGCTATCGTAATACTTTTGAGACTCTCTGCAGTCGTCAGTCCCAAGGCGAATCGCTAGACTACTTAAGTATTTAGTATTTCAAAGGAAGAAAAAAAAAAAAAAAAAAAAAAAAGTAGAAAAAAGTAAATAAAAGAAAAAAAAAAAGAGAATGGAAGGATTTATAAAACGAATTGTATTACCATATACAATTATTTCTTTCTAAACGACTAATAATTCAATTTTTTTCCCCCCTAAGAGTTGTTAAATTAATTAATTAATTGAATAATTAAATTGATTGATTGATTGATTAATTGATTGATTGATTAATTAAATTATTAATAGATAAATAATAAAATAATAATAAACAAATAAATAAATAAATAAAAATAATATAAAAATAAAAACGAATCGTACGCATAGGACACGTGCGACGACAACTCGTGCTTCATTAATAATGTCTGACTATGATTATAAAATATTCAACAGGAATTCTCAATACATTTTTTCGTTACGTCCAACCACCACCCCCCACCCCCGCCCGCGCCCCTCACGGCCCTAATTCATTCCGTACACGTGTGTGAGATCCGGTCGATCGCGCGTTACATACATACAGCTTTTATCATGTTAGCAGACTCTAACAAAGCGCATTTAACTTTAATCCCATGAAACGTATAGACGCATTCTCTCTCTCTCTCTCTCTCTCTCTCTCTCTCTCTCTCTCTTTCATTCTATCTCTCATTCTCTCTATCTCATTCTCTCTTTCTCTTTATCTATCTCCCTATATCTCAACGTTTTGTTCATCCAAACGTGACTGAATTATATTTTTGCATGCATGCTTCAAAGTCGAAACTTCCCACGCGTGTTAAATTTACTTTAAACTCCTTCTATGGTAGAAATCATTTAAGCGTATATTCTCGCAATAACATCTAGCTCTAATATCGACTTTTCTTTTCTTTTTTTTCCCTTTTTTTTTTTTCTTTCTGTCTTTTTTCTCTCGTACGAGAAAACTGTCGACGAGATGATGATAACGGAAGTATCAAAAAAAAAAAAAAAAAAAAAAAAAAGAAAAGAAGGAAAATTTGGATTTTGTTCATTGCGTTTCGTTGAAATGATCTTAAGATCATCGACTTTAATTATTGTTTCAATAATATTTCTCATGATCAAATCACATTCGATCGTAATCCTTTTCAAAAGAAATGACGGAATTATGGTACGAGTCGTTTTGAAAAAAAAAAAAAATAAAGAAAACAAACAATAAGACAATTGTCCTTAATTTCTGTTTCTTATCAGTTTTTTTTTTTAATTTTCTTTTCCCCCCTCCCCCTTTGGAGAAACAAACGAGTTTAAAGCGATTTCGAAATTCCAGGTATTTAACAGTAACGGTAACTTCCTGAAGGAATTTGGAACATATGGAAGTGGGGAAGGTGAATTCGACTGCCTCGCAGGTGTAGCCGTTAACAGAATTGGCCAATATATCATCGCTGACCGTTATAATCATAGGATTCAGGTGCTCGATCCTTCCGGCCGTTTCCTGAGGGCTTTTGGTTCTCAAGGCACCGCCGACGGACGATTCAATTATCCCTGGGGTATTACCACGGACGCCCTTGGATTTATTTATGTGTGCGATAAGGAGAACCATCGGGTGCAGGTGGGTCGGTGATATAATTATTTAATTAACCTATTATCTTACTTAATAATAGAAGTTTCAAGAAATGAAACAAAAAATTGGATTATATCGTTCGAATATAACAAAAGTGATTTAACAAAATTAAGTCGTATGCTATTTGAAATAGGATATACAATTTTAACTAAAAAAAAAAAAAAAAAAAAAAAAGAAAAAGAAAATTACGATATATATATATATATATATATATATATATATATATAAATAATGTTATAAAAATTTGCCAAGATTGGAACGTTTCAGACATATAAATTTATCAAGATTGTATAACATATATATGTGTATATACAGTGTATATATATATACCTATATATATGGTTCACTTTTAACATCTCTATACAATTTTTATAATATTTCTTATAAATATAACAATCTCATAATATCGTATAAATTTTTTAACACCATATTAGACCTTTTTTCTCCATTCCCTCTCTCTCTTTCTCTCTCTTTCTCTCTCGATATGTCGATTAATATAAAAGATAAAAAAAGAAGATCAAGAAAAAAGAAAAGAGAAAAAGAGAAAAGGAGAAAAGGAAGGAATTCTTTTTTTTTTCTTTTTTCAAAGAGCATACGATTCAAAAAATGTATCATTCGTTCGTGTATCATCATCGTATTCGTAGGTATTTCAATCGGACGGTACGTTCGTTGGAAAATTTGGATCTTGCGGTAGTGGACGTGGTCAATTAGAACATCCACATTACATAGCAGTTAGCAACACTAATCGCGTTATAGTCAGCGATGGAAATAATCATCGAATTCAGATATTCGACGTGAATGGTCGTGTATTGAGTTCCTTTGGATCCGAGGGCTCGGACGAAGGTCAGTTTAAGTTTCCAAGAGGTGTAGCCGTTGATGAACAAGGATATATAGTCGTAGCTGATTCAGGAAACAATCGAATACAAATCTTCAGTCCAGAAGGTAACTTTCTTAAGTCTTTCGGTGGCTGGGGAAGCGGAGATGGAGAGTTCAAAGGTCTTGAGGGTGTCGCCGTTACATCAAACGGTAATATCGTTATATGCGATCGGGAAAATCATCGTGTTCAAGTATTTTAAAATTAATTCTAATCTTTTAATTCACGTAAATACATATGTCAGGATTAAAATGTCTTATAGCTACGCTGTAAACCGTGTTCGATTTTATAACTAACGTTCTCCTAATGCGATGCATTTTTACGATGCCAAAGAGAACAATAATGCTAAGAAAGCCGAATGAAATATAATATTTGCATTTTCGAACGATCCGGATCTATGCGTATGTATGTACTTAAGTACTGTTTATTACGAGCCAGTATAATTATTATTTATCATTCGTAAAACCTTGAATTATTATGATCGTATAAGAACGTTTAAAAGCTTCGTTGTAATCCTTCAAATAATTTTAAGTTTAACCTCGTTTTTTATTTCTTCTTTCTCTTCTTCTTTTTTTTTTGTTTCTCTCTATCTCTCTTTCTTCTTTGTCTCTATGTCTCTCTTTTTAAGAACTCGCGAAAATGTTAACTCTTTGTCTTGATACTCGATAATTGTTACGCGAAGTAAACTGCATTAACGACTACGTATGCATTTTTAACACGATAATATTTAATGAGAAACAATTTATAGCAATGGATAAATCGATTTAACTCGAAAAAATGATATAAATAGATATCGTTATTTGATAATTAAGGAAAAAAAAAAAAAAAAAAAAAAGAAAAAGAAGGAAATGATATGTCGATTGTTCAACAATTAAACATTCGTTTCTCTATCATTCTTTTTTTATTTCTAATATATTTCGTTTATCATTCGTTCTTATCAATTTCTTCTCTTTTATCGATCATTTCTTACCTCTCATTCATCTTCGCCATTTAATAACACTCGACAAAAAAAAAAGAAAAAAAGAAAAAGAAATAAAAAAAAAAAAAATAAAGAAATAAATTAATAATTTGTTCAAACAAATTCTTGAATTTGTACACCGAAACGACGAGTTTGTATCGTTTGTTATATGCTTGAAATAAATCGTTGCGGAATTAATGCCTAAGATTTTCATTGATTTCATTTATTAATTAAGATTGAAAAATTTTTCAACTCCGATATTCACCTACCTCTCGTCTATAAACCCTTTTCGTCCTTCCATCGAATAAGAATAGTTCTCCTTCTAATAAGTATCTAATAATTGAGTAAGATTTTAACGAAAGGGGTAAGTAAAAAGGTGAGTGAGTCAATAAATATATAATTTATTAAATGCAATGTTGAAATGGTGTAACAATAGAGGGTTAGGCGAACGAAGATCGCACGATCCCCATTTAGGGCTGACAAAGAGGTAATTTCGTCGCCCCCGCCTGACACCCCCGGATCGGAAATATAGATAAAATATTTTCGTTATTTATTTACAAGTATTAGTTGAACGTTAGTCGATAAATAATAAACAGTGGGCGTAATCCATTATTTAATTATAATTTAATAATGTAATATATATATATATTACGTTTGCGATAATAAAAATATTACAAGAGATGGAGGCTTCTTTACCATTATTCGTTTTTTTTATTTTTTTTTTTTTATTTTTTTTTTTCCACTAAAAGTAAATGTGTACGTGTAATTGCGCCGTCCCCGTTTCAAAATTCATCCCTCGACAATTTTCGAACGTCTCTTGCTAATTTTTTTTACGAGAGCGTATTCCCTTTTATATATACGCTTAATATCGTATCAAACAGATATCGTATCAATTTAGGTATATACATACCTTTTTTATTTCTCATGTAACACATTTACATATAACGCGTGTCTACAATGTTTCCTTTAATCTCTTTCTCTTTCTCTCTTTCTCTCTCTCTCTCTCTCTCTTTCTCTTTGAAATGTTCTACTTCCGACGAGATTCAATTACAGAGCGAACGACGTTCGATGGGAACCGTCAGGAAATTTTGAAACGCCGACTAGAGAGACATGTCGAAACAGCTGTCGAAACCATCAACATTCCGGGAGTATCGCGAAACTTCGCGACGATCGACGGGATATGCAACAAATTATACGGTGTGTATGTATGTGTATGTGTCTGTGTATGCATGTATATAAGTATATATATATGTGTATATAAGTGAGTGTCTGTTAATGTATATATGGGGCCGATGTGTGTGACCATAAATACGTATAACTTTCGTCGATAAGGTAATCATAGAAAAATCGTAAAATGTCTATGTCTGTTCGTTTTCTTTCTTTTATGCACGTGCTGTGCTCTATGTATGTATGTATGTGTATATATATGTGTGTGTGTGTGTGTGTGTATGAACGGAGAACGATTTACAAGCGAGGGTGAAAACTATCACTCTATTCTCTTTCCTTCTCTCTATCTTTGCCTCTCTCTCTTTCTCTCTCTCTCTCTCTCTCGCTCTCTCTCATACACACGCATACACACACATGCACACACATACATGCACACAAATTTTTTAATTCATCCACTGTCTTCACACCCTTGCTCGTTCGTTCACCGTCGAATTATCACAACGAAAGTACGCAACATGCTTGGACGTTATTTTATGTCGAGGAGAGTACACAACGCGTGATATACCTCGGTACGACTAGAAATAGGTATTATTATGTATGTAACACACGAACCAGGCAGGCAGCAAGCAGGTACGAAGTGACCATGTCTTAATCAAGGAACAGTGTATAGAAAATGAGCTAGGCACCGATCCGATCGTTTCGACCTTTTCGACATTGTGATACGTACATTTCACAGAGATAATCTCGCGTCTTTCGATCTCCGCGAAACGTAAACAAATTTTTTTGGTGTCTCCTCGTTTCTCTAATTTTTTGAGCATGTATTTGTATGTATGTATGTATGTATGTATGTATGTACATATATATATATATATACATATGTGTGTGTGTGTGTGTGCACTGCGCTTCGTATATGAATGCACG